TAACGCATAGCAAAAAATATTTAAAACGAAAAGACAACGACGTACGAGATCCATCAAAACACAGGTTAGTTACATGTTTACCAACACTACAATATCTTGATATGAAATTTATGGACCCTGAACTAACTCGAACAAACTATATTAAAGAAACAACAAAAGAAGTGCATTAAAGGATAATTTGGTGGTAAAGAACAATTAATCACAGATTTAATCGAAATGTGATTTGACCCCTCACTCATGATTCCACATGAGAATGAGAAAGTTACTGATTTTCACTTCCCGAGCGTAAGCTGCAGAAGTATTATAATATGGTCCATCTGACAAAAGGCTCATTTCATGTTTTTTGACAAAGAATTTTTTTAATCATGTCAAAATTTAAGTCATCAGGCAACGATGAATAGCTTACTTAAAAACTATGTGATATGTAGCCACATTTCCTTCTGTAAATAATACGAAATTTACTGAAACTATCAAATTAAAATTGTAAAAGATATTTAATACAGACAGTAAAGCAGAAGCTAATTTTTTCATAAAATTCAAAGAGGTAAGAAGGATTTTTCAAATAAAAATAAGCTACTGAGATAACAGAAGGTCAGTCGTCTTCAAAGTGCTGAACGGAGCGGGCGAATCTTATCGCTCACGGTAACATCCACATACAAATAAAGAACTATTTTTTTATACCACCATTTTCCCACAGTTCGAACATAACTATGCTAAAATGACTTTTCACAGATCTTGTTAATTTTATAAAATGTGAGCGGTTTATTTCACCCAACTTTATTTTTTTATGTTTATAAATTTTATACCTACTTTTATCAACTCAAAATGAAATAAATATTTAATAGGTACATTTAAAACTGATGAAAAATAAACTACAGATTTCTAAAATAGTTTTCAATAAAAGTACATCGTAGCGCACCGCCTGTTCCAGCAATATCGCGTGACCCAAAAACTAATTAAACTTTCATTAAAAAATGTACTCCGGTGGAGCCTTGGTAGCACTTCATATTTATTTTTTTAGAATAGTTAAAATTTAATGAACTACTTTATTATTTTATTATTATATATTATACTGCATATGTAATTTACAATTACTTTACCCGTGGTTTAATATATTCTTATATTTATTTATCAAAAGTTATGATAAAAAGAGCTAATAAAATATTCAGAAACACGTTTTATAATTTATCTAAGAAAATAGGCTTGTTTAATTAATTGTAAAGAATGTTCTATCTAAAATTTACACCAATATTTTCTTCCACGTCTGATGTTAACAACATTAACTAACTCTATGTGTTTTTTTTTAACTTCTGGGCAATTTTTATCGTGTCGCTTAACATTATAAGCATGTCCCAAACATAAATAGCAATTATTCTCAATACTCGTAAAAGTGCCGTTTATGTACATATTTTAAGATTTTTTTAAAAAATGTAATATATCTGTCAATTACATCTTTTATAAAATTGACTTCGTCTATTGTTAATTATCTATATCTCTATACATAAAGCCGTTCAATATTTTGTGTGAATAGCAACATTCAGTTGAAAGTCTGTAAATAATAACTACGAGTACAAAGCATTTGAATGACTTTGGTTACAGTATTGTGTCGAATAAGCACCGGGGTATTATTTGTACTACATAAAATATTTTGCGACCTGTTTAAAATTTTCTGTTAAAACAAAAACCGAAGTGAAAAGTTAATATTTAACTTTGCGCGAATTGGGCTGGATAACTGGTGAAATAACAATCAACTTTCGTTTTAATTAATTACAAAGAGATATCACTCTCTACACAGCTATTGCCCATCAGGTACGTGTTTACACAGAAACCACCTACTTCCGTCTTTAGCGTACGTTTGTTGAAATTTTTGAAAAGAGAATTAATTTAAAAAGTAAGCAGATGCAAACTACGTCACAATTCTGTCTCTCAAAATTTTCACTGTACTTAGGCTAAAGATAAGCAACTGAGCATCGTCCCTGATTGAGAAATATATATATATGGAGAACGTTATTTCTTCTAATTAACTAAATCCATCACTCCACTTAGACTCTTGGGATCTTCATCGACATCAGCCTTGATTATAGCAATCTGTCGGTGGTTCTGCTTTCGTAACCGTGTCCCCCAACTAAGGGAATTTCTCTTATAAAAACGTATATATAATCGAATATAAAGATACAGATTTAAACCGAAAATCACTTTGATTTCACGACCTTTACACTTTACACTGAGAACTGGCATCAAATTTGTGTCTATAGAAGTGTTAGGTAATAAAATCCAACTCTAAAATGAGAAATAAAAGTTTAAAAATACTAAAACAACAGTGAAGATCCAAACCAATAAAATCAGAACTACAAATGCTTGATTATCTGCTTTCTTTTCGCCCATTATGATTATGTTTTAATTAAATTTTATTTATTATTTAACAATAGACAGTTTTGTCAACGTTTCGGGATCACATGTTCCCTTCCATAGGATCACTAAAATTAACATAAAAAATTAAAATTAAAAACTTGACTGCCTGGTTAAATGAATTAAAATTCTAAACTTTTTCGAGCAACGCTTTTTCCGTTGGTATAAATACACTGACCGACAAAAAACCAATCACCCTGGAATAATTCGCAAAACCACTTTAAAAATTATATTTTAACTATAGTGATTATTTTTATTTGTCTCTTTTTTTCAGCTAATTTGTAGGTCCTGTCTACAGTGAATGGTTCTCTAAATAAAATAACAATCACTACATAATAATTAATATCATCATAGTATAATTTAAAATTTTAAGTTCGTGAACCAGTCTTTATAGTCAAATTTTTAATTTTAATTTTTAATGTTAATCAAATAATTTGTATTTTAATGTAACTGTAAAATATGTAACTGCTAAATAAATCTGTCCAGCACCCCGAAGAGGAAATTTAATTAAAACATAAATGCTTCATTTAGATTTCCTTCCTTCCTTTGTGCGCAACAAGAGCACCACCAAAATTAGTTGCCTGATTTTGGTTCACTGAGAACAAAATTTTCTAAAATAAGCTAAAAAAGTAATTTTTGTCACATCTGTAATTTTGAATATTCAGTTGTTGCTAATTTTAAAATGTACGTTTTACAATGTAGTTTCAGCGTAAGCCGCTGAAACTAAAATCAGGCTTGGTTCATGTTACAAAAATCAGCTCCACGGGTGAAGACACGTCCTAACCAAAATCCAATATATTCTGCCCGGCGCCTCCACCAAATATGTTAACGCAGGAAAATGTTCTGAGACTGCATTGTTTTGGACACGACATGATTTTATCCACATTTACCTGAGTTAACTGTTGCTCCAAAATGTTTTACTTTTAAGCTTATAATTACCTCGATGACTCACATTTTACGTTTACTACAGAGTGTATTATAGCGCTTCACTAACACTTTTAAAAGTTTAAATATGAAAATGAACGAAATTTGAGTACACACGTTTTATCAAAATTAACTTTTTTTAAATAATAACCAGGTTTTTTTAAATTGTAGGGTACCGCTGCGCTAGTCCTGCATGTACAGAACGAGTAAATAATTTTTATTTTGCTTAAAATTGTTCTTTATTCAAAAGATCACACCCATCTGTTATGTATTTAGAACATAAAAGCATTGACTACTGAATGCTGACTGAGAATTTGAAGTCAGTCCTGGAAAAATTGAAAAAATAGAATTTTAAAAATATCTGCCGTAATAAATAAATTCTCAACAGTAAACCTACACTTCTTACTGACAGTAAAACTATCTCAGTGAAACTCAATTTCTGAAAATTAGCGTACTTGACGTACGATCTTTTACAAACACCCTTCATGAGAGTGATTCAGAAAGCAGATTCTAATGACTTTTTTTAAGACTTCATATAGAAACAAAAAAAATTGTTCGTATCACAAACTATTTCTCTATACAGTCATCAACATCTTTATTACCTACCTTGTTAACTGTCAGTAAAATAAAAGTTTTTATGGACCATATATAGACACAATAAAATTAAGGAAAATAATTGCAAAGTAAAAAGTGTGTTTACAGAAGTTTTAGATCTACTGCAAGCGCCAAGACATTGATCCTATTTTATCCCTTTTAACTTTTATTAAATATATCCGTTTTATCATCCAGTATAAAACAACGTAGTCCAATTTTTACGCAGGAAATGTTACTTTTCGAACTTTCACTATACTTAAAAAACTTAAATGGTGATTCCCACAGAATTGTATTTCCATAGCAGTCAAAAAACCACCCTGACGATAATTTCGATTTTTAGAGATATTTTTTATGGTAGCAAATTTTTTTATTTCCTAACACCAAATTGCTTAACCGACAAATTTAAAAAACTGTAAAGATACTTACCCAAAACTTTTTTCCTTTGAAGCACAACAAACCACACACATTTTAGAACGTATTTTGGTACCAGGGGAGGGGAGCGAATATGTACAATTTAATAATTTAATACGAAGCATATGTCACGTCAACTGTTTATCTGTTAATATATTGATTTTGTTGACATACCTTGTGTACGCACTTCTGAAATGTAAAAACAGTACTTAAGCCATAACAGTGCCTCCTCTCAAGCCATATCTTTGAATACAATCCATTTATAATTTTTCAGTGTAACGTTAACAACTCTGGTAGGGCTCAGAAAATACATTTTTTTAATGTTCTGTAATCCCTCCAGCAGTATTAGATTTTGGAAGAACTCTATTGTATAAGTTGTAAAATTGAATGGTCTAAACTCAAAGACCCATATGTATGAGCAAAGTTAGAAAATTGTAAACGAGCGTATTATGCTGCACATTTAAACTGAATTTTACTTAACAATATTGAAAAATTTTAGTCATGTCTCCTAGAAGTAAAACTTCTGGTATTACGTGAAATATTGGCAAACACACTCAGGCGACCGTCATCGCAATAAACTGTCTGATACAACGCAGAAACATCCACTATTTAAGCCGTGAACTTTTCAAGATCGCTATAAACACATCTTTACAAATTCAACACATTTTATATTGCTGTAAGTTGAAAACATAAATCAATTTTTATAAAACTGCCTAGAAACATGAGTTACTAAAAAAGTAATGAAGGGCATTACAACTAAACAATGAGTTTCTTATAACTAAAACTTAACCAAGAGTCTAGTAATAAATTAAATTCCTATAAGAAACATAAATTTAAAGAATGAAAAAATTATTTCTTATCTTTAATAATATGCCTCTTCTCATGAGCTTTCATATGATCGGATCGTCGAAACTTCTTCTTACAAACGTGACAAGAGTACTTCATCTCATTTGTATGAGTATGCAGGTGTTTAACAAACGCAGAGCGAAAACTAGTTTTTAAAGGTTTATGACAAATAGGACATTCGGACCTGTTTTTAACTGAGTAAAACTTTTTGACTTCACTTAATGCCATCACAACTTTTGGATATGAGTGGCATTTTCTGGAGTGTCTGAGCAATTCTAGAGGTGATCCGAACTCCTTTGTACACTCTCGGCAAGTTGTTTCATTTGACTCATCTGAATCCTCTTTGATTGATTCACTGCTACTTGAATCGCCTTCAGATTTTGGCTTTTCCTCATCTTCCTTTTTCGGTTGCTTGATTAAAGTCACTGCATTACTTTGCAGACGCTTAGCAAGTGCATTGAAATCTTCAATTGCCTCATTCTTTTCTTTCAAAACCAATGAATTACTCACAGTGAACTCGTCCGAATCGTGCGCCCCATTTCGTCGAATTGTTATTTTAATTGGAGGTGAATTCGATTTTAGAATCTCGCTCACATCCATCTGTTCACTCAATACAATGTTCTGCTGAATATCAATCTTATTTGCGGCTTTTTTAGGAATGTTTCTTTCATCGACAGACAAAATGTAGTCTTTCGCAGGGCATTTCTTTATGTGAAAAGTACGTGATTTTTTTATTGGGAAGACTTTGTTGCAGTATTGACATGGGTAAAAAATGCGACCATCGCTGGTTACGATTTGATCCTTAATACCATTTCTTGTAACTTGGGCGTTGTTTCCGTTTAAGTCTGGCGATTTTTTTGTATTTGTTTTGGAGGATTTTTCTGAAAATAAACATAACCTCAAAAATTGATCGAGGGGAGGAGTGATTACCCACCTTTTTGCATTGTTGCGAAAATAAAGTTACAAACTTAATGTAAAACGGGATAAAATAATAAAATAACAAAAAAAATAATATCAAAAGTAAATAAAACACAAACAAACGGACATTTCGCAGTCAAAATAAAAATGACATAACGGTTAAAACGAAAATCCCTACATCGGATTCAGATCAGCTATTTTAAAATGGAGCGGTAAGCCACGAGCACAAGGTAATTTTCACAAAACGAGTGTAATAAAAATGCTTTAAATCTTTCATTATTTGTAAGCAATATAAATCTGCTAAGTATTTTCAAGAAATGTCAAAATGAATTAATTAATTATGCATATTATATGTATTTGTTCTCAGGTTTTCCTTCTTTTTTGCTTGGTGACTATTAAAATTTTTTCTCAAAAATGTCATTAACTCCACATATTTGTTCATATAACACGTATATCAACGATTAGAACCGTACATTTATGAGAGTTTAATCTGCTTCGTAAAAAATTCTGTCAGTTATGCAACCAAATTAACGCGTCAGTACAACAACAGTCTATTTATCGATTTGTTTTTCCAATGACTGACGTGGAAAATTTACTAATTGTCAAAATGTAAAAAATAATTCGACTCTTAAAATTATTTTTGTTAAATATCAAACTGATAACAATATTCAAAATTTGACAAAGTGGATCATTATTCACTCTAGGTTGGCAATCGCGCAAGCGCGCTGAATTCAAACTTCCCAGTTGCTTAGCTACAATTTGAATGAACACAAAGACTTCAGCGTCAGAATGAGCAAAAGAACATTTTCACGACGAAGCTGCTTCTGGTAAAACATTAAAATGAGTAAATTATTATTTTGTTTTGTATTTGTTTCTTTTAGCAATAGTTGGCGATTTCGAAATGACTCTTCAAACATGGCGGCAGTTTTAAAACCGATACATTTCGAACCGGCTGACTGCGTTTGTTATTGTCACGAAAAGAAGATTCCTCCTCGACTCTTCTCAAAACCAAAGGAGTGTGTTTTTATAGATGACCTAGATGAACCTATGGTTCGTTTCGAAAAGCCATTCTCCTCCAAAGTCGGCTCGGGCGCTTTTAAAATTCCACAATTTTGGAAAAGTAACAAAAGTTTTAAATCCAGTTCGAAATCCGGAAAGTATTTTAGTGAAAGTGATGATCTAAGAACTGATACTGATAAATCCAAGCAAAATAAAACTTCGTTTAGTTCAGGACTGAGGGATCTCAGAACTGATAAATCAAAATTAAATAAAACTTTGCCTAGTTCAAGACTGGACCTTTTTGAAAATGAAAATTTCGCACCTCAAAAATCTGACGATTTTTCGTTAGCTAACAGCAAAGAGAAAGGTTCTACTTACTTTGATGAAAAACAAAAAACAGAATCCGCAATAGAAAATATTGGTGCATTATCTCCCAGTTCTTCGTTAGCAAGTCCACCGAGAACAGAAAGTGAACAAAGAGAAGGTGATAAAAATGGATCTAAAACGACTCAGTCTTTTAAAGACAAATCGACTAAAAGCACAAATAGAAACAGTTTTCAAGAGAAAAGTAAAAAATCAGAAACGATACTAGAAGAGGAAGATGGAGAATACCAAATAATTGAAGACGTTAAAGAGAGTAAACACGAATTCGACCAACCAACGCCGTCAGATTTCTCCGAGGGAGATCAAACACTTTCACCAAGTAATGTAGCAACTGTTGGTCAAGTTTCCACTAAATCTGATCTCCAAAAACTTAGTGATTTCCGCAAAGACCATTTTTTTGAAACGCATTCCACAGAAGATTTAATAAAACCCATACCTGAACATGTGTGTATACATAGATTTGGTCTAGATGACAGGTTTTTACCAAAACCTCTGTATGCTGATATATATGGTGCTAGTCGTTGTATAATCTGTGATAAGCCCATGGACAGTCCACCACTTAATAAAACTGATGAGCGAATTTTGAGGAAGAAGAATATTTTACCTAAATTTTATAAATACGGGTTGGCACCTAAAAGGATTTACATGGGGAATGATGACAAGGTGAAGATTGAGATGCAGTTGGACTGTAAAGATGAAGAGTTCGTGGTGAAGACACAAAAACCAAATTATTGTGATACATATGCGTTGAGGTATCAAAAAGGAGTTATGTAGATTAGAGATGTAATTTTTGTAATAATCTAATATACGTAAGAGAGATATGTGTATTAAATCTTTTATCATGTTCATATTTAATGTCTTTTAATAGCACGTTGAGCTAATGTAACACCAACGTCACAATCCATCTTGTCATTTTATAGCACTAATGAATGGTCAGTGATCAAAGCCATGTGTAAGCAATATCATGTAGGATTCTGATGTAAAAAAAAGCAGGTTTTATCAGAAAAGTTTAGTTTGTCGTTCTTCTCGTCTCCCTCATCGGATAGTAAAAGAAATAAGTGTTGTATTGAACTCCTACTGTACCTAATACTCCTAACTGATTTCTTGCTATATAACGTATTAAACTTTATTTCAAAATCTTTTTAACTTTTTTTACAAATTAATTATGACATTACAACTACTGTTTTCCTACTTTGTATTTATGCACGCATTCCGCCATATTATTTTCACAATACAACAGAAGTCCTCAATTTCCTCAGGGATTTACAATCTTTTGCTACATTCAGCAAATTTGACTGGTTTTTACTTTTAAATCATGGTAATGAGTAATGACAAAAAACAAAAGGAACGGAAATAGAGGACTAGAAAGGGCATCACGAGAACTCAAAGTAATACCTAAACTCTATTCACATTCAACAGATCCAACAGCTGCTTAGTTTATCTACAAAATACATTGCAACATTAAAGAACTTTTTTATGAGAACTTAATGAGTAGAAAACTTGCTAGATAAAACACTATTTATGGCTTTGCTAACATGAATCAAATAGTATCTTTACATACCATATATTACGAATTTTTTAAAAACATTAGACAATCATTACCATCAAGGCTTGTTAGCAATAAATTATTGATTCTAAAATCACTAATGATGGCCTCTGATGTTGACTACTGATTTCACTACATACTATATTTTATCGATATATTTGTTGGATATCTTATCATAATTTTGGATACCGTTGGTTTAACAAAGTTTGAAGACGAAAACAAAACGAGAATAGAATATTTGAAATACCAAGAAAATAGGAATACCAAGGAAATAGAAATTCGAAATATAAATTATTATTTGCTTTGTCAACTTCTCATAATATGAAAATTTTGAGGACGATGTCTACGGATATTAAGGTTTTTCACCTAAAGTTCTTAAGTTGTTTATATTAGTAAGTAAGGAAACAGTAACATCTAAAAAATAGATTCCTTGATTAATTAAAGAAGCAATTAGATTTATTGATTAAATCAAAAACTGATCATCTAACTGTCCCAAAATTCTGGAAACACTGTTGTTCGTGTTACAATGTATCAAAAGTGATTCCGTCTAGAATACCGTCCCAAAAAAAATATTAAGAAAAGATCATACTGAAAAATGCACAAAGTATTTTACCTATGTTTAAAAAATCCAACAACGTCGCAATTTCTCGCCGTAAAAAAGCGGCAACATGAATACGAATTTTTAGTAGAACACAAAAACAAAATTAGGTTACGTTTCTTGTTTTGTGACATTTGACAACGTGGTACCTACTGGCTTTCTTACTTAAAAATCTGTAGTTAGAAGACTTTCATTAACCAGACTAGATTAATCTTATACAAATGACTTCTTTTTCTATATTTCATGCGACATTTTTTCAAAACCAAAACATGCAACTAGATTTCCGCAGAACTCGAACTGCAAACTTTAATCTTTAAACTGGTGGAATAATTTATTTTTACCTACGACAATTTTTTTAATGAAAACTACTAGTCTAAATTCAATATTTTCTGTAATTTTTGCAAATAAGAAACGAAATATGTAAACCATAAGCAAATTACTCCAATCAAAGAAATAGGTACAAATTTAGTGCATAATTAAGAATTGGAACATACGGTACCTATACCAGACGATAATTTTCAGTAAATTAGATAATACGTACCGTTTTCAGACATACCACATACTTTTCATTATAAATATAACAAAACCTGCATACATGTTATTTGAAATTTTAACGTGACATTAATTAAGCAATTTTTTTATCGGAATTATTTAAGTACATCAATATAAACATATGATGGTACGTCGCTGCGTTTAAAATCCGCCTAAAATCAGAATTATGATGTTTAAGGTGATAGTAAAACCGTTGTTTGAAATATGAGTGAGATAACCAATGAAGATATTCACAACAGAATATCTTGTGTGCGATAAATCAAACTTAATTTGTTATCGTTTGGTAACTGCGAATCAAAACAGTAATAATCATATATCAATATGTGTTTTATTTACACCATCTTTATGCCTTCGTTTACCCAAAGATAAACTCAAAATCACCACGAATCTTTGACTCAGACTCCCATAAAACCACGTTACATCCGATTTTACCGAAAATAAAATCAGAAAAAATAGACACACGCCCAAATCGACCAAACATCTTTCGGCTTTAATGTTAAAATTTTACAACTTTCCGCCACTTTGGTTTTATTGGATGGCAACTATTTAGTTTCCTGTTACCAAGAATAACCCGACGCTATATTTCAAACAAAAATTTCGTGTTGTTTACTTGTTCCTTTTGTGATGGTTTATTATTGGAGAACAAAAAGTTTGTTTTCTTTTCACACTTTTAATATAAGCGGATCTAAATCGACTGCTGCACGGTTTTCTGTCCGTCGATTTAGTCTATCTTTAACGAACAGACGTTGTACAGGCTGAAATCCATCATCACTGGTGATCCGTTTTTCGTTCAACGACTTGTAAATAAAGCTGCATTGTTTCCAGCAGAATTTTGATTGAAAAGTAATATAGTTTGATGAGTGTCGGGTGGAAACGGACGGATTCTGGTGGATATGAGTGTTTCTTAGAGTACGGTATGCACTTTTAAGTATTTTCCAAAACGTCGTTTATGAAATTAATCCAGCCTCTTTATTAAAGCAAAAACACGGTTTTCTTCGCCTTACGTCCATTTTTTAAAGCTTTATTATTTTAAAACTTACTGACATATCTATGTTTATTTTTGGTTGAAGCTTGGTGCATTGATATAATAATAATCTACATACTGTTTTCCCGATTTGTTTTTCTGTACCTGGCTGTTTTGAAAAGTATTTTTTATGTTTCCCGGATGTATAATTAATTTATAAATAATTTAATCACACCAAAAATTTATCGGTAATTTAATAATATAGGTATATTATTGTCATATTTTTATCCTAGCATATGGATACACCTTAAAGTAACAAAAAATAAAACTTGTAGAATGAAATTTTATAATTTGTTTTAGATTAGAACCACATAAAGAATATTTTTTGAAATTTGGTAAGACACTAAAACTATATTTATTAGTCCCATTTAAAAACTTAATGACATCTCAAAAATTTATGAAGTAGTTGGTTAAAACATGTACCAATGTAAATGTATTGTAATAGTGTATTCTGTTGTGTCATCTTTTTGAGAGCTGTTTATATAGGAGACCCAAAAAAAATTACATATAAGGTAAATTATTTTATTCATCAAATTATGGCTTGTTTTCTTTTCCGCTGCACATTTTTCGTAACATTGTAAAACTAAAATAAAATATAAAACATGTAATATACAATAACGCTTTCATTGCACACAGAAATGATTAATATCGTAGTAGGGGTCTTTTTTTTAGAATATTTTTTATTTTGTGGGCAAAATTTGACTGGGACAATGCAATTATTTACTTTGGGATATTACGTAGAAATGAATTGTCTTAGGAACTTTTTATGTATATGTATTGCCTTTCGTGGTCTATTTTAAATGTGAAAATAACTTCTAGAATAATAATAATAATAATATATATAATAAATCTAATCTGAACTATTAAAATATTGATATGTACCTATATTGCATGAGAATTGTCAAGAAAAAAACACACATACTGAATATATGACAAACATAGGACTACATAAGTACATACGATGGATACATTATGTAACTTTCACTAGTTTAACAAAAAAATAGCAAACGATAGTAAAATATGTATATAATGTATAAAATCTGTGAGCTGTTTTTCGGAAGTATTTTTGACATAAATATTGTAAAAATGTTAAGACTGAAGTTTTCATAAAACGCAAAACCTGATAAAATGTTAATTATACATTTATCAGTATTCATTAAACAAAGCTTCTCTCTAATGTTGCCCTAATTTTTCAGTTTTACGAACAGGTGTTTTAATTTTAACAACTATTTAAGCAAAACACCGGAAACCTGGCGTTGGAACTTGAGCTGGCAGGTCCGCTTCTAATAACTGTATACAATAATGATGGAAATGCGCTCACCTATACCAATGGATGCGCCCATGGTACAACTTAGAATAAATTTAAACTTTCAAAATTGAACATCTATTCTCTCTTAAATAATATTCCTAATTATTTTTACAATGTACGTTTATTTAAAACTAATCGATTACCCTTTCTTTTTTAATCTTATTGACTAAAACGAAAACTACAAAGAGGAGCAATTGTAGAGTCTTCGACGATCTATTCTGTGAAAGTATAAGTATACAAAACTCATTTGACATAGATCTTGTAAATATTTTATTACTTAAGCGGCTTAAGCTTAACCTACATGACCTGACCTGACCTTACCTGACCTGACCTGACCTGACCTGACCTGACCTGACCCGACCTGACCTGACCTGACCTGACCTGACCTGACCTGACCTGACTTGACCCGAACCGCAAGGATTATTACTGTTCATTGTTGCCATAATGGAGCTGTATAGTTTTACTAGATATATGTGAACTGAGTTAATTAATAGAATAACCTATTTGACCTATAAGGGTGCTTTGGTTTAAGCCGCTTAAGTCATAAAAGTTTTACAAGGTTTTTTTTTTTTATCTTCAAGTGATTTTGTATATGTATGTAAGAGTTCAAAAGTAGAAAAAGCTAAATGAAGTAATTTTCTAATAAGTGTCTTGGCTCTTTATTTGTGTTTTTTTTTTGTTTATCTTCAAGCTATCTTTTTTCCTTTAAGGTACTCTCGCCTTTTTTTTAATTTTTAATATTTTCAAAAACTTGTTTTAATCTAATTACTTCATTGCCTTTTCAGCATTACTAAATATCAATATATTTCCAAGAAATTTCACAACTGCATACCAAAATTTCTCTACCAGTCCTGTGAATTTTTGTTTTCATCTACATGATGAAACATTATAGTTATGTAGTTCTACTGCCTGTTTAAGATACTTATTTTGAAATCAGCAGTAAATATTTTATTTATTCATCAATGTCATAAGAACGTGCTCAACGAACAAACACCGGAAATACAAAATCTAATTAAAACTCATAACAAGTTTTACAAACCAGGCAATCCCGTTACTCTTGAAAGCGGTGTTCCAATATTATTTTCCACGTGAAACTTCAGCCACTGTTACACACTTACTCAGGTCTTTATATGAGAACATAAAATTCGTCAACATATAAAAGTTATTGATCAGTTTTTCACGAAACTTACATTCAAAATTAAATTTTATTTTGCTGAGTACTGACAGTTGCAATATGCTACCTTTCTTATAAAAACCTTTATTGTTGAAACTGATGAAAATAAGGAAAGGAAACCACCTTTTCATTTATTATGCCTTAAAGCTTACTACTTTTTATAAGTGATGGATGTCCCAACCACTCCAAAGTCTACATAGTGATGCATTTTGTAATCTTTTTATTCACTGTAGGTATTAGTCATTTGCAAACGTCAAGACACTTACATTTTTCTTATATTTGTTTGTACAGAGTTATTAATATTTTTCTCAAAACGAACAGCTACGAAACTGCTATTTCTAATATGTAAAAAAGTGGTCGAAGACAGAACTTCCCTCGCCCCTAAAGTTTACTCAAACAAATACAGCTTCGAAAAATTATAAAATTTAACATGGAGAGTTTTATTTTTTTTATGATGACTCATATGAGCTAAAATTGATAATTATATAAATGGATTCTTGGAATACAGGTAATGAAGCATCGTATCCACATATTTCTAACGAGTTTTCCCATAAGCAAATTATTTAATGACTTCATCAACATTTTTGCGATTTTTGTTTTGTAATAACCTCTGTTAAGTAAAAACCAGTGGCGTAAATAACGCCCCACAGCTTCTGTGCCGCAGTGGCGCAAATTCCAAGGCCCACACAAGGACCATTATGAAGCATTATTATTTACAACAGATAACCAACGGGAAAAAATGTATTCTCAGTTTCTCGGCACATGCTTAACTTCAACTGTTTATGTTTATACTTCAAAAGAATTCAATTACTAGCACATTCAGATAACAAGCGCCAGCAGTTACATGCATTTACGTTCAAAGAAAACAAAATTTGATTCATTTAATCTCCTCAACACAGAAGAGAGGACTAATTAATTAATGAAGCACATTCTGTTTTTTCCCAAAAAACTTAATGTCTAGCGTAAAGACTACACGGATGCATAAATCACACATGAATTTTTTGGGAAGATCATAAACGAATAAATTTAGATTAACGATTTATCATGGTTTCTAACTAAAACCCTAATAAAACACGATTTCAGTGCATTCGATTTTACAATTTCAAAGTTAAATTGTAAAATGTTGTAATACAATTTTGATTTTTTGCTCAAAAATCTGGATGTCTAGGGTAAAAACTCAACACGGATACATAAATCACACATGAGGAAGTATGTAATTCACACAAACGAAAAAAATTTTGTTTAATGACTTACCATGCTTACAATAACCTTAAAACGTTTGCAAAATTTCAAAGCATTTTAGTTTTGCGGTTTCAAAGTTAAATCGCAAAATATTTGTATACGATTTATTTTTTTTTATAACACCTATAAGTTAAAATAAAGATGTGTAGACTATTAAAGTACGGATAAAGAAGCATGCTATGCGTATATTTATGAGTGAGTTTTTATGTAACAAAATTTTGTGATGACGTCATCAACACTTTATCAAGAACACATATATGAATTGGAATAGATGCCGTGTAATACCAATAATAATAACTGACCCCTTCTTCATCAATAAAATAGACTGCCTCATTCATTTTTTTTTTTTCAATCGACTTGTAAGTAAAAGTACATAATTCTAAAAAATTTGAACGCATTCATAAACCACAAGTATAGATTCATAATATTTAACGTACTTTAGGTAGGATTTATAAGGTAAAATTTTCAGATGACGCTTCAATTTTTTGGGAGGGGATAAACGAATATATTTTGATTAACGGTTTGCAATACTTGCAAGATATCAGAATGTTTAACGGTCTCAATGTTTTTATACTTTTTTTTTTCCAAAAATCTGGATATCTAGGATCAAAATTCAACACGGATTCATAAACTACAAATGGGTATCTTATTCAATAAAATTTAAATAACGTTTATTATTGTAAATTTTGTAAATGACGTCCCATTGTTGGGGGGATGTTAGACAAATTTTGGTAAGCGTTTTACCGTCTACATGATGTTCCTTATGCATATATAAAATTTGACGACAATCAGTTCAGTAGTTTCGAAGATTTTTTGTTTAATAGAAACTAGCACACCACAGGAAGAATGTTAAGACTGCGTTCAAAATCGCCACCATTCTTAATTACCGTTTAAAATGTAACAGAAGGATATTTTTTATTTTATGCTGTATATCGATGATTTTTTAGTTCCTAAGCATAAGTTAAAGAAGTATTGCAACGAGTTTATCGGGCAACTGACTACTTTCATCTTTTCTCGACGTTTCAGGACCCCTAGAATACGAAAATGTTGATCTCGCATTTCCGTCTATCCGTCTGTCTGTTGTCTGTGTCAATTTTTATTATGCAAATAACCTCCTAAATTACCGTACCGATTCTCGCCAAATTTTTTATGTATATTAGGAATATCATGTAGATGGTAAAACGCTTACCACTACCGCCAACAATGGAATGACGTCATCTCTAAAATTTACAATAGCAAATGTTATTTAAACTGGATTAGATACTCCTGCATTTGTTTACGAATCCATGTTGAGTTTTTATATTTTGTTGAATTACTTTTGCAGGGTAACTCAAAAAAATTAATGAATGAGCCAACCTCTTTTATTGATTAAACCAAAAATGGCCCACCCTTTTTTCTCGAAAATGTGAGTATGCAGTAGTGCTATTAAATTGGTATTACACTGCACCAATTCAAAATGTTATGTGTCTTTGCTGTTGATGACGTTATCACAAAGTCTTGTCATGTGAAAACTCGTTTGAACATACGCATAGAATTTAATACTTTAACAGTCCACACAAATCTCTGTTTTAACTTTCTCTAGACGTTATCATAAAAAAATAATTTCGCAAATTAATTTTTATAATTTTTCGAAGAATTTGTGTTGGTTCGCCTGTATTTCAGAGGCTAAATAATTTAAATCAGTTTTTTAATTCTTTTTCTTGAAGCAATTACCAATGAATTTTAATTTCTTTCTAAAATTTAATCTACACCTACTAGAAATTAGAATCACTAGAATAAGTATTAACATCTTCCAAAAGAAAAAAATCTTTTCATTCGTTAATTTAAGAAGGGTAATTGAACGAAATCTTATTCAACCAAAATTCTATCACAGGATTACATCTTTGTTTATCACTATCACATTAGATTATTGTTAAAAATATAATTTGTCATTAATAATTTAAATTTTCTTAGGTAATAAGATTTTGTAATGCCGTGATCAAAATTTTAGTCAAGTTGAAGTTTCAGTTTTGACAACTACAACATAATATAACAATGATAACAACAATATCGTGTTCCCAGAATTTCAAAAAACAGTTAAATATGCCGTTAAGTAATTATTCAAAATAAGAGCATGCTATTAAAAAAGAAACATCAGGGTATCCTGTGACATGTTATACAATAAACACATTTTTAACAATTTGATGAATGAGTGAGTGAGATTAACAAACACATTATAATAATCACTCTTCTGTAATCCACATCTAATCAATAAAGTCATTGAATAAAGTCTAAGAAAAATACAGACGTTCATTCTATAGGAGGTTTTTTTTATATACATTTTTGAATTGCAGACACAGGGGCATGCCAACGTATAATTTGAAGTTAAAATCACTAAAGAAAATTTTTAAATGAAATCATTATTGGTTTTATGTCATCATCTCCATGACACTGAAACTAAATGTTACCGTCTTTCCAAATCATTTTGTTTCCTTTTGCATCTTTTTTTTTAAACAGCATATATTATTCTTTGTATAAATATGAATCACAAAAAATAATTATCCTAAATTATATTCATTTATGATACACGTACACAAATTTTAACACCTAATGACCACACATTGTGTTCTAATTCTCCAAACAACTCATCTAAAAATTAGAGCACAACACACTTGTCTTTGCAGAAAAGGCTAACAGTATGGGATGCGTAGAATACGCAGCTACCTTTGGATCTGTGATTCTTCTAGTCATGACTCTACCTTTTTCGCTATTTTGGTGCTTCAAGGTAGGTATTTTAACTACCAAACAATTTAAACAAAAATAAATTGTAGGTGGTACAAGAATATGAACGAGCCGTCATTTTTCGCTTAGGACGCCTTCGAACAGGAGGCGCCAGAGGACCAGGAATTTTTTTCATCTTACCATGTGTCGACAGCTACTGCAAAGTAGATTTAAGAACGGTTTCTTTTGATGTTCCGCCACAAGAAGTCTATATTTTGGAATATACACAAATTATATTTTTACCACCTGTATTTATAGGCTCTCACTAAAGACTCCGTAACCGTAACCGTGGACGCTGTTGTTTATTATCGAATTCAAGATCCTTTGAATGCTGTCACGAAAGTAACTAACTATAGGTTGTATACATTGTTACATCAATAATTTCTTTGAATATGATTGTTTGCAGCAACTCTACAAGACTGTTGGCGATGACGACTCTGCGTAATATTTTAGGGACGAGGAATCTTGCAGAAGTGCTATCAGATCGTGAAGCTATTTCTCATGCCATGCAGACGAATTTGGATGTTGCTACCGATCCTTGGGGAGTCAAAGTTGAAAGAGTGGAAATGTAAATGCAATGCCAAAGTGTTAAATATATATTTTTATAATAAGGAATACAAGAAAGAACGATTTCCGCTACAAACCATCAGTAAAACGGGAATAAAACGCGATACAATATCATCTTGAAAAAATACTAAGCAGTTTCTAGTGAATTAATACGTTCGGGGTTACAAATTTTTAATTTTTAGAGTTGAAAATTTTATTATACATATATATATTTGGAACAGTTCTGCTATCTACCATAGATAAAAATTTGATACGTATAATTTCATAATAATGTATTCTAGAAAAGACGTTAGTCTGCCTCAACAACTTCAAAGAGCTATGGCCGCTGAAGCTGAAGCTTCCAGAGAAGCCAGAGCGAAAGTTATAGCGGCCGAGGGGGAAATGAAAGCGTCAAGAGCTTTGAAGGAAGCTGCCGATGTTATTAACGAGTCGCCAGCGGCGTTACAAGTATTCAATTTTTGTGCATCTATTTGTACGAAACGAATTAACTGTGATTGTTTTTAGTTAAGATATTTACAAACTTTGAATAATATCTCGGCAGAGAAGAATTCAACCATTATATTTCCGTTACCCATAGATTTAATAAGTTATTTTATTAATTTTCATAACGGTACTCAGATTATTTAATAGGCGTATGTTGTTATTAGAAAAGAGTGTATATTTACTATATACAACATGTCTATATAGATAATAAAATGTATGCAAAATTGGGTTTTTAAATTTAATTAGTTTGGTGAACTGTTCCTGTTGTAGAACTTCTGCCTGCAAGTCTGTAAGTTGCTCTGTTTGTGACAAACCTTTTAAACTTAAATGTGTAGGTACTTCAAGCACCGAAGCTAAGCGAATTCACCTTAATCAGGTCTTCTTTGAACATGCAAACAATGTATTCGTGTTTTCCGACATTAATAGAATAGCTTAAGACATGTAATTTTTGACCTGCAAGATGAAATAAAAACGTTAAAATCATATATTCTTACTCATCCGCCAATAATTTCAGCAGCTTCTATGTTGGACATTGAAAAAAATTGTTCAAGAAGTTGCTGAGTATGAAAAACGCAAATGCAACATAATTATATGGTTATAAAAAAGAGAATACAACGTTAAACAAAGATCATATTAAACAGGATATGGATGAAATACCCAAGAATTGTTCAAGTTTTGATATTAAAGAAGAACAGTTACGTATTATCAGACTGACAAAGTTAGACCCTACAAATGGGACAAAATATTCAAGTTCAAAACATAGTACCTGCTGTGGTATTTCCATGTCATCTGATCGCACTCTAATGCAGATTCAAATATACCAAAATGTTAACACTGAATTAGTTGCTCGTCAGACCAAAGGTTAAATCATTGTTAAAATTCGAGATAAAAAGAGATTTCCACAATAGTTAACTTATTCATCGAAAAACCAAAAGAGCCAAATGGATTCTTCGACAGTAATCTTTCAATTTATTATCAAAACAGTCGTCGATTGCACTCTAAAACTCACTGTTTTTATGTTAGTGTCCATGAATTATCTTTTAATGTTATAGTCATTGTTGAATCCTGGCTAAATGACTCTATCAATAAGAAGTGCTGAGCTATTTCCTTCTAACTATAACGTTATAAGATGTGTCAGAAAATTCATTAGCGTCAACAAAGTTAACGGTGGTTGTGCCGTTCTTGGTATTTAAAAAAAATATATTGTAAAAGCGGTAAATACTATAGATCTCAAATGTAGTAACTGTGATTGATTTTCTCATTTGTAAATATCGTTTAAATATATTACTTTTTTCTTGTATATACCTCCTAATACTTCTGCTGATGATTACGAACTGTTTTTTGAAACGCTTGAGGCTTTTCTTCATAAAAAATAGTTTTGCTAATTGGTGATTTCCATTTGCCAAATTTTTGTAATAATAGCTATGCGTGTTTGAGTTGTAATAATTTTGCATGTAGTCTCATTCCGTAGTCTATGGTAACATCCAATTATTACAACTATATTGTAAATAGTACAGAGAGATCGAAAAGGAAATTAGTCAAAGTTGGTCATGCACAAAAAGCCGTTTGTCTTAGTTTAAAATAATTTTTCATTAAACGTCACGTTGACAAAAGTAATTTGCAATATTATCAAACGAAATTAAAGCTTTTTTGTTAGAATCTTACTTCAGAAATGGGACAAAAGTGGAAAACGGTGATTTTGATTCATTTTTATATGTTTTAAAAGTAGTATCAATTTGACATTTAATAAAAAAATTTAAATTACGACAAACGGCTGTCGTGTATGGCCAACTTTGATTAATTTATTATTGGATCTTGCGGCATTAATAAGCAGCTGGATTTAGTTTTTTCGAATCTTCAACAGAAAGTAGAAGTCAGTCATGACAGGCATCCATTTGTTTCAAAAGACCTACATGACCCAGCCTTATCCATTTCAATTAAAACGTCGTCTTATCCTAGGATTTCTACTTTTCCATTCGCTTTTAATAAAAGCTTCAACTTTCGTAGAGCTAATTTTATTACACTAGACAACGACGTTATCAATATTGACTCGACTTTTTTTAAAATTTGATGTTGTTATCAAGTACTTAATGCGTGATTAGTATTTTGGAAATGTCTGTATCTCACTACAAGCCATACAAATGTTGTCCTCCCTGGTTTACACCCAACATAATCTCACACTTAGAAATAAAAAACTGGTCGAAGATTATTTCGACAGAACTTCGCTTGCCCCTAAAATACAGTACATCAAATTCAGTTCTTTCAAAAATTAAAAAAAATATTTTTCGAATTTTATTTTTCTTATGACAATCAATAAAATAACAAAACAATTTAATCACATTTCTGCCGTGAGAGAGAAACAGAGAAACTAAGCTATAAGATATTTTCTAGGATTTGCAAAAAACGGATCACAATGCCGATATTCCAGACTTTTGTATTCTCTGACTCCCGCTCACTAAACAAAACATTGCATTTTATTTTGATTTTCGATGTTGTAATTCACATTTCATTATTTATACGTCCTTAGCTTGTGTCACGTAGAAATTAGTTTGGTTTGAATAAGTTCGTCGCCTCCAAACATAGGATTAAAATTATTATTAAGCTACAATCGTACAAAATGTTGTAAGTATTAATATTATTATTGTGTAGGTATGTTTATCGAAGAAATGGTCATAATATTGCTATGAAATGTGAGCAAACCGATCTCTGATAAAAGACCGCGTGACACGGTAAAAAGCACAGCGTGTTACGACGAAGTGTATATTTAGACGAGCATAGAAAAGCCCAACAGATGTCGCTCGGTGTAGCTTTGGAGCATTAAATGATTTGCTGTCGTGTTCACATTACGGCCACACTTACGTGTGGCGCTTTAGTTCATCGTTTAGTTAGTTGCATACGAGTCAACATTAGGAATTGTTTAATAGTCAGTGTTTTATTCGGCGTTTACATAAAGGATATGTCATTTTCACATGAAAAAAGTTACGCTCGCCTAAAATGCATTTTAAGATTAAATGTCATGTACAAATTTTTCGTTCATAACTAAAATTTATGAACACAAACAGGTGTTAAAGAACGAAGTTTTGTTTTTATAGCGGGTTATATTTATAGTTTTATTCATTGCATTGTTATAACATTTTCATTTACTTTTATTTTAAATTAAATAAAATGTTTGCGGAGAAAAGTAATTGAAAATCTATTTACAGTAATTTCATCCAGAAAATTGTAAGAAAACAAAACAGTTGTTTTTTCTGAAATGAAAACAAAATTTCGTACTGTTTCAAATAATTGTGTTCTGAAATATAAGCTAATTTTACAAATGGAAAGTTTAGTTTTAATTTCGACTGCATAGTTGACAGTCAACATACAAATTTATAGATTTCAAATTTTAATTATGTTAACTTCTTCAAATAATGTGCAATTCATGAATTTCGGTTTATTATTATGTAGTCACTTTACGAGAACACTGATCACAATATTTAGCCAAGACATATTTTACCACAGACATGTTACCACTGTAAATATCTTTTTTTAGTTGAATGGTAATTTAATTGTCCATTATAATTTCAGTAAATTTGCACATACATGTGCTCGTCTAATTATCTAATGTTACCGTTATTTTAGGCGGGCACTGACTATATTATGGTTACTTTGCTCGGGCATTAAAGACATTACGGTTATTTTAATCGAACACTGACAATATTACGATTACTGTGGCCGGGTATTGAGTATATTGAGTAAATTACAGCAACTTTGGGGCGGCACTGAATTATATATAACATTCTGTTTCATACCAAACTATCAGTCAATAAAAAAAATTTAATGTTTTTTCTACGCTACAAACTAATTGCTTTTAAAATCTAAGATTTATCATTTATAAATAAATTTACTGACATTAAGTCATAAATCACGCATTTAATAAGGCGTTTAGCGATATCTGATTGGTGCATCACTTTAATGGCGCGTTTAAAATTTAATCACCATCAGATATTTAACTGAGCTTCTGTAAACCGGCTCATAGTGTCATTAGTCTCATTAGGCTAACACGTAATCATGAATCCATGATACATATATTTAATCTATAATTTAAATTTTATTTCCTCGATTATGCACAAGCTGAGACAAATTTTTGGCAGAAGGTTCGGAATTTCTAACTTCAGTTGTGTTAAATTCAAAATACTCAAACATTTTTAAATTATGACATTGATTTCGTTATTAAACGGCTATCTTACGAGAGTACTTATCTTTTTTTAAGTTAAATGGGTAATTTAATTGTACAATTATTGTTTGATTAAATTTACACGGATATGTGCTCATCTAATTAGGTTTGTTACAGATATTTCACGCAGGCATTGCCTATAATACGGTTACTTTGCAGGAGCATTGATGATATTACAGTTACTTTGCGCGGGCACTGAATAAGACATTCTGTTTTATACCAAACTCTCAATTTATATATATATATATTTATATATTTCTTTTTCGCTAGAAGCAAGTTGGTTCAGAAATGTAACATTTCGTCTAATGGTTAAATGAATCAATGAAATACCTAACGTAAAAATTAAAAGTTAATTTCATCGAATCAGGCACAATTGAGATAAGGCACTTTCCGAAGAAGGTTCGGGTTTTCAACGTCAACTGTGTTAAATTCGAAATAATGTACATGTCTTAAATTACGACCTTAACGAATCTGTAATTAAACGGTTATGGTACGACAGCGCCTATGAGTAAAACCTTTGATTAAGTCCTCCAAATTACTCGAAATGAATATAACATCTAATTAATATTGGTCTGTCTTTTCAGTTGAACTGGTAATTTAATTGTAGCAGTATAGTTTGATTGAATTTGCTTGATATGTGCTCACATAACTCGCCATATTACCGTCAATTTACGCGAGCATAGATTGTATAACAGTTACTTTGTGCGAGCATTGACTATAATTCTGTTACTTTGGACGAGCATAGCCTTAAAATATTGTCTTTCATACCAAACTGTCAATTAAGAGAAAAATATTAGCTCGTGTTTCACACATCGTAAGTGTTGTTAAATTCAAAATATATACTGCAAAAGTTTAAAATTTTGATCTTCATTTAGTTATTAAACGGTTACTTTACCAGATCGTCGATTAATAAAACACTTTATTAAGACATGACCTACTAACTGAGGGAATGAATATAACATCTAATTTAAATGGGTGCTTTTATTAAGTAGAATGATAATTTAATTT